TACAACTAGGGACTAAAAGAAAGTAAACAAACTAGGCTCAAAATAGTGTCTACAATATTTTCTCAAGTTACAAGTCCCTATTTTGACTCCATGTCTACAGTATTTATCAATTTTAGTGGAGTCCAAATAGGGATTTGTAGCTTTAGAAAATAATGTGGACATTATTTGGAGCCTAGTTTATTTTTTTAATACGCACTCACAACTCCAGCAAAGTACGAAAATCAGTAGAATAAATCACCACTGACAAAAGTAGATAAATCCTCTATGGTAATTGTCTACTGTTAGAAAACTCACTAAAAAAGTCACAGGAAACCACGTAGAGATAAAGTACAACAGTGAAATCGAGAAACAATGAAGAACAGCAAACTCAAAAAATGATGTATCCTTAACATGGCAGTTTCCAACTAATGCATTTTTAGTTGCACAAATTATTTTCCAATTAATGCGCATTAGTAAAACATCAAATTTTTCCAATGGCAAAAAGTGAGGGACTTAAGAGAAATTCTTTAGGGATAAAAAAAGAAGGTGCTTGAATTAATTTTAAAACTACCCTATGACATACTCAATACTGCATTCATTACTATTGTCCAGGTTTCAGTAAAATATTCGTAGCCATTTTTTCTATAGTGGTTTGTAAAACTATAATCAATGATAATAAGGCTGAAGACACTGTTATAAATATACACATTGTTTATTCTAATAAAACAAAGCATCTCCAATTAATATAATGGTGCTTAAAAGTTAAATGGCTTTTACACTTCTGTGATGCTTGAATAGCTTTGAAGAGCTTATATTGGTTGTGAAGAAGAACTTACAAAATTTTAGAGGTTTGAAAATCTTGACTTTCAAAAATGAACTTTAAAATATCCCTAAAACCTTTGCAAGAGTTTGTTTAGTAGCTGTGCACAGATTTTGGAGCAGTATACCTAGCTGTTTTTGCTGTAGGCTTCGGTGCTTGAATGGCTTTGAAGAAAAACTGATAAAATCTCTCCTCTTTCAAGTATCAACATAAAAATAATCCTATGATCTGAGCAGGAGTTTTTTAGTACATTTGCCCATGTTTCAATAAAATATCCATAGCCATTTTTTCTGTAGACTTGTTGAAACAAAAATAATATGAATAATAATAATATGAAGAAAAATGGATGAATTTTGTCTAAAAAATTGGAAAATCAACTTTTTTTGCTATTATCAATATTTTAGCAGCCTTAACTTAATGAGATAGAAGGTCTTAAGTGTTCTTGAAATAACAAGTCGGCTTTTTAAAATGGCTATTGCCCGTATGTTTAAGTAAGATTTTTGTGAAATTCCTGGGCAAACCCTATTATGAACCACTATCATGGTTCATAATTATTTTTGCACCATATTACAATGTGGTTATGATATATCAGCCATGGTCAGATTTTTGTGGAGCTTGAGCCTCCCCAAGTCCCCATGCTTCTACAAAGGTTACTGAAAAAAAAAATATATATTTCCAACACTACAATAATGATGATGAGAGTGTATCTATACATCACCTCTCAGCTCAGTTTATGTTAAGAACAAAATTTCTTCCATCATTCCAAAAGCTTCATCTTACTATGATAATATACAGGTGTGGTGTTGCAGAAATTCAGTTGTGTACAGCTGCATTAAGAACTGTTCTTTATACAAACCATTCTTCAGGGTGCTAACAAAATAGAAGAGACAAGGTGATAGTTCTTAATTATGTGTAAAATTGGGAGAATTATCCACTCAAACTTCTAAATTGTATTTGCTGCATAGTGAGTAAAATGTGATCTGGCACCATCATCACAATGCAGGGAAACACCTTCTATTTTGATGCTGGAACATACTGATTAGTGCTACTGTTAGACAAACAAAACGAGTACCACACCCTGAATGTTCTTCTTTTGTTAAAAACTTGATTACAGCATCTTTTTTAAAAGCAGTGCCACTCACAGTTTCTGTAATTATGTTGTGCATATAACAAATGTTACCTCTAGCAGTAGCTCTTAACATGACCATTTGTCCACTCACATATAAAGAACTCAAACATGAATGTCACAATTTTGTTTCTGTTTATGGTTAACAAAGCTACTTTGTTCTTCACCTATCAAAAATACAATGAAAAACAAAACAATTCAGTTTTTATACATCAGAAAACAACACGAATAACAGGACTCTCCTGTCATTTGTGTCAGAAAACAGCATGGATAACAAAGTTAATTTATCAAAAATACATTATAAAAAGTGAAAACAAAAACCTCTTTCCTTCATGCATCGGAAGACATACAGTAGAAATACAGCCCTTCTGTCCTTAATATATCATAAAATACACCAAGAAAACAAATCTATTTCCTTCATGCATCAGAAACTACATTGTGGAAACAAAACCCTTCTCTCCTTCACATGTCAAAAAAATACACTGTGGAAATATAGTCCTCCTGGGCTTAACATGCCAGAAAATACACTGTGAAAACAGCCCTTTACATATAACAAAATACACACCAAACACAGAAACATATTGTCCTTCTTGTAGCAAAAAATACACTGTGGAAATATAGCCCTTCTAGGCTTAACATACCAGATAATACACTGAAAACAGAATCCTATTGTCTTTATTGTATCAGAAAATATACTGTGGAATCAAAACCCTTCTGCATTAAATGATATTGAATATTGTATAATATGTTATATTTTGAAACATTTTTCCTGTTCTATGCCAATTTCTAGTCTTTAGTTGCTACAATTTATTTTGTTTAACAAGATTTAGTGAATAATTTTTTTTATAAAAATTTATTTATTTTTACAACCATATACTACTTAAGTTACATCCATATCAAAATAGATTTAGAATGATAATTAGTAAGATATTTTTCACTGAATGGTGTTTGGCTACAAGCCAACATACTTTGTTATATGACCTATTTAAAGCTATGAAAGTATAGCCATAGGCTAGCATATTATATAACCCACTCAAATCTAGGTGTGTAGCCCAAAGTACAACCTATTCTTTGTTATATTATCTATTGAAAATAAATATATGTAACTGACTGGATGGAAACGAATATTAGAATTTATGTGAGGATACTGTTAAAGATAATAAATGCGCTAATAACAGCAATTTTGTAATGTAACTGTTAGAAATATTAATGAAATACACTAGTAATACAGAGCTAATTACATAAGAAAGGTTTTCTTGGCCAGTTATTTATTTTTGTATTATCTACGCTATTCTGAGTAAAGTTACTTTATAAGACCAGTACACAAGTTTTAAAAAGTTTGTTAATTTACAGCATTTATATAGTACAACTTTTACTTCTTGACCTCGTAAATACAATTCTCTTCATGTATTTAAATTTTAAATATAATAAAAGTTAACTCACGACATCGTTCATTAGGTCTCAGATGCTGAATGTTCACTTGACTACTATTTGACATTTCTATTCAGTGAATGGCATATGCAAGTGCTAATGACTGATCAATAATAAATTTCCAATAATGTTTTATTCTAAGGATTGATTTTTTATTTCCAGACTGTTTTTTTTTGTTGTTTATTTTAACTGTGCTGCCATCTTTCGTCATCAAGGATAAACAATACTTAATTTACTTATTGTGAATTTAACATTTTTGTTACTCCAATATACAATTTTTGGTATATAAACGTAACTTAAACAGTGGACCAGGGGATATTGCCATCAAATTTCAGCAGAAATAATATATTGTTTCACAATAGGCTCTACTACTTACCAGCTTGCAATAAGTCTCAGATGACTATCAACTATCAATTTAGACAAAAGTCATGAGCTCTTTGCACCTTCCTCCCCCCAACTTCAGAAACCAAAGTTCAATACTGTTCTAGTTTACAGCAAACATTATCAAATGACAATTATTATTTTTACTTTTATTCAGAAGCATTTCTGTTTTTTTCTTTTTTACTGTGGTATTGGTTGTGTCACACCATACATACACACATACCCACATGTAAAAGTTGTTTGGGCTGAAAACTTATGGTCATTATAACAGCGCACTAATTATCTACCTTTAAAATGCACTACAACAATCACTCACTAACTGTACACCAGAAACTCCCACGGTAGTGAAAGTAAAAGAAAATATAGATTTAGTGAAATTACAAACTGGATTACTGTAATGTTGTACTCCACTTTTTCATTACAAATTTTATAGTTGTTTGGGGTGTATATACAGATACACAAATATGTACAGGCCATTTCTGTGGCATTACAACAAAAGTTAAAAGACTGTAAAAACTAGCATATATTTTCTTAAACTCATTATTATAACGTGTAAAACAGACCTCTTTCTGTTTAAACATTGATAACTTTCATGCTCTAAAACTCGGGGAAAAAAGCAAAACGCATGAAGTGCTGAAGTTTTGTTTTACAAATTACACAATGGTTCCGTACTTGTCATCTGCCGAGAAGTTTAACATATATATATAGTCCATGCATTTATAAATACAAACAATGCATCAGCAACAATAGCGCAATGCCATCTTAAATTATTCCAAGTTACTCGAACATTGGGCCTAAACTTAAAAAGTTTTAATTATCTGTAAATTGGGTTTAACCTCAAAGTCAAAGACATTGACATAGCCTTCACCCTTTGTCAGTTTGTCGCTTTAATTACCCGCTCTTGCTCACTGAGTCTAGGCTATGTAATAGTTTGGGTAGAGGTCTGTATATTGTTCAAGACTTACTGTTTTAGTCCCTCTGTGATTTAGTCGATTCACAATAAAAAGAAAACGTTTACTTTTAAATAACCTGTGTTCTACTAAACTGAAAAATGTTTTCGTATTCAAAGAAGTCAAGCGAGCCATCACATGAAAACAGATTACTACTAGCACTAATACTACACTAGTCTAGGGTATAATGCAGATATATCAAAACAAATACATAGTACCAAACTTACGAGGCGGCTACAGTACGCACCACACACACGCCCAGCGAGGGACAAGAATTCGCATTAGATGAATAAGATCAACTAAGTTCACTTACCATGCTCATTTTAGCCTAGATATATTAACGTTACATTGGCTTGCATCTCTCTGTATTAGGATAATAAAACACACAAATGTATAACACGTATGTTCTTGACTGGCCGAGACTGCACTAGCAAATTATTGATCGGAATTACGGTTACCAACCCTCAAACTATCAAAATCGCTAAGTCTACCCAGTAGTAGCACTGCGCTGAAGCGTATTAAAGTCTTTTACTGCTATTCAACCTTTACTAGCATCACTCGAGCATACGTCAATCAAGTACAATTTGACCAATAACAGTAGAGTATTTCTGGCGCCAGTGACGATTGTACTAATGACGCAAGAGGTAGTACGTATGCTGTTAGGTAAATTTGAAAAAAAAAAACCTGTGCACGTGCAAATACTGTTTTCTGCACTTGAACATTTATATAGCAATAAAGCCAACTACTTTTCACCACCAATTAATTAATCATTGTAATAGGGTTAGTTACTTTTTCTCAAATTAGTAAATCACTTTTATATTTCCAAGCATGGTATAAAGCACGATGCTTGTGTATGCCTCTCACGGTATTCGTTGACACTATCACCAAGGTAAAGTAGAACTAGAAGACAGATATTTCCAAATGATTGTGAGAAACACAAAAGGTTACTGAAGTATCTGTGATAAAGGCATGATACACGAGCGCTTTCGTGTGACGTATGCCCTTGTTAATGATGTGGCTCATAGTCTTAGTTTATACATTATTTTTCTTTGTCTTTACTCCTATATCTATTTACATTAAATGTCAATATATTTATGAATGATGTATGATCTTTTACGAAGATTTTTCATTGAAATAAGTCAAATTTCATTACCGAATAAGAGAAAGCCAGCATACACAAATGGAAAATATTATGTTGCGTCATCGAGATCACGTGACTATTCTCACGCCCTCTACT